ACATATGCAATATGAACTGTCCGACTGGGATCTTGTTTATTTTTAATTTTTTTTAATTTTTATTTTTTTTTAGCTGAGCCATCCTGCTACCTGTTGGCAGTTCAGAGGCTGCTCAGCTCGGGCTGGACTCGAACCGCTGTTGCTCAGAGCTCAAACTCTTGAGCGAGCTCTTAACCAACTGAGCCACTCGGCCGGCTCTTTGTTTATTTTCTTGATTTCCTAAATTGCTTAGCCTGGTAAAAAGAACACTCTAGGTATTAAGTAAATGGTGGATAGAAAATTTGGAGAATAGTAAGCAACCATACCTCTATTCTTTTTTAGATAAAAAACAAGATGCATACACACACACACACACAGACACACCTAGCCATTTTAGTTCCTGTTCAAGTCAGCCATGTGTAAGCTATACTAGCATATGTGTAACAATACCCGGAAATAGGAGGTTGCGGTTTAAGCTTATTTCCTTTTCTGTGGTAATTGTATGTGCCTGCTATTGTCTTCACAGTTCAGAGAAACAAGCTCTGCCTTTCAATAATAAAGCATCTTCATGTGTCAGCAAAAATGTGTATTTAATGAAAGTACTATTTGGAAGTAAATATTAAATAAGGTTAAGTCCCCAGGCATGAAAAGTTTTGCCAGTTTGTTTTTGTCTGTACTTAATGTTTTCTCCATATAAGTATACTTCCACATCTGGTTTAAAAACAAACAACAAACAAAACTTCCGCTGTTAGAGAGTACCTGTTGACTAGCTAGTGAAATATAACAGAGGAGTTCACAAGGTTGTCTTTTGGACCTTTTTTTTTTAAATGTGAACTTTGACTTGGAGTAAATTTAATAAGTAAGAGGACAGAAAGCAAGGTGGCATATTAGAAAAGCATGCACTTAGGAGACAAAACTCTCTTAGCCAAATGGGTGATCTTGGTTAAGTTTCCCAACCTCACAAAGCCTAAGATTCCTCATGTATAAAGTGGGGAAACAATATCTACCTTATAGGATGTTTGGGAGGATTACATGTGATAATGAATATTGAAGTGCCTAGTAATGGGTGGCCAATAAATATTGGCATCTATCACCTTTCTTTCTTCAGTTCCGCTGTTCCAGGCTTCCATGCCTTCTCTTGGCGATATTTCCTGCCTTCTGATTGTTTCCCAAGATTTATTAATTGCTTTTGTATTTCTACAATTCAGTAACTTCTCATTTTCTGGACATTTTTCGGTTCTACCTGAAGATGAGCTGAGGAACCAGATAAATTTTGCATTAGGTATTCATATAAAAGTTTTATTAAAGGTGATTAGCATATCCTTCTATATATTTCACATACTTTTTTCAAAAAGATTTTTATTCAATTTGTAAACCACTATGAACATATGGTTATAGTGCTATATATAGTTTTAATCTTGTCATTTAAACAAATTTATTTGAAATGGTTTAATTAATACTGAATAGAGTTTCAGCATGGTAATTATAATATAATTACTTTTTGATGGGGAGATAATAGATACAGGTAATGTATAATGTATATAGTTTAATTTTGAAATTTAATATATTGAATGATTACTCATTCCTCTGTAGTTAAATTAGTTTAAAAAGTGTTTTGTTCTAGGTGCCAAGGACCTGGCAATAAACAAAACTGAGTCTTTGCCTATGAAAGCTCACTTTCTAAAGTGAAAAAATGTTTCCATACATAAAATTTTTTATAATGCATTTTCTTTTTTTTTAAATTAAAAGTTTATTGGGGTGACAGTTGTTAGTACATAGGTTTCAGGTGTACAATTCTGTAATACATCATCTATATATCACATTGTGTGTTCACCACCCTATAATGCATTTTCTTACTTTGCTCATGCATATGTGTATACCATGCATCAAAGAGTTTATATTGTCATAGGATATTATGTTTTAGGGGAATATTTGAATCTATAGCTCAAATATTTGTTTTTCAAGATTTATTAATTTCAAATTCAAAATTTCAAATTCCAAAATTTTTAGATCAAATATTGATTTCATTAAATTTGTCACATTCCACAAAGTTACTATTTTATTTATTATGACTTAGTTATTGTATATAGAATATACTCAGTTTGGCAGTATAACATTGACTTGTAGATTCAAAGTATTTTTCATTAATTTAGTAAATATTTTTTGAGGACCTCCTATACTCCTCTAAGTAAATTCTGTCTTATATCAACCTGGCTCAAGAATTTAAACTCAGACCCAGAGCCCAATCTATTTCCTTTTCTTCATGCCATGTATTCAGAGGTAGAGGCCAGAACTGTGGAGATGAATAGGTTGGTTAAGAGAATGAGGATTTATTTGGATTTGGTAACTAGGAAGGGGTCATTAGCGACCTTGGAAAGAATTTCTTTAAAATATATTTGGGAGAAAAAATGGTTATTTCAGGGGGCTAAGGAAACAGAATAATAAGGAAATTGAAGTATCAGATATATAGGTGATCCTTGGTATTTTGGTAGTAAGTAGAAGGAGGATTCATGCAAGAACTTGAAAGCATAGCAGCAACTAGGGGATATAACTTCAAAATAAGGGGTTTGAGGGTTATAAGAGAGCAAGGAGCTGGGGATCAAGTGATTAAATACCGAGGAGCTAATTGAAACCATAATGTCCCAGAGGAACCAAAGCAGATAGTTATTAGGACGTAAGTAAAAGGGAATTGGACTTAGAAGAGTAGAGAGAAAAATTTTCATTCTATTCAAGAGGAAGAGATGAGAACGAATGAAAATAAAAGTATTTTAAGATGGAGAAATGGGATGGTTATGGTCATTCCCGAAAGATAGCCTTTAATCTTCTCATACAGTAGGGAAGTAAGGTCATTTGCTGAATGGAATAGGTGAGAGGGAGATGGGAACTGGGAAAAAGTTCTGCCATGGCAACATACTTGGAAATCAGTGCGACATAGTTGGAAATCAGCAGCAGTAGCACCCCAGTTGAAATTAGCATGGATTTATAGCAATAGATAATATCCTAGTGTTCTATATCAGGAGTTGGTAAACTACAATCGAAGAGCCACATCTACATCTAGCCCATGTAGCCTGTGAGCTAAGAATGGTTTTTATATTCATAAAGGGTTTAAAAAGATAAGCAAAGAAACAAAGAAGAATATGTGATGGAGACTGTATGTGGCCTTCAAAGCCTAAAATATTTACTATCTGGCCCCTTACAGAAAAAGATGCTGACCCTTGTTCTGTAGCTCAGGACCAGAGAAAACAAATGCTAGTGTGATTTAGAGGTGGGAGCTGACATGCTGGACATGATTAAAGATGAAAGGGTGATAAAGTAAGGGATACTTACTTGGTGTGGGAGGAGATGGACAGTTGGGTGCAGGTTGATTGATAGGGAGTAAAGTAAAGCCAGAAGAAAGCTAATTGAATGGATTGAAATGGAGAGGGCTTGTAGCTACATCTCATAATGAAAATAAAAAGCATGGTCAGTTGGTATGAAGCAAAGATGACAGGTAAAGAAGTTGGAGGTAGAGAAACAGGGCACATTTGGTTATCTTGGAGATAGAAGAGTTCCAGAAATTGCTAAGTATAACTGTTTCAGTGAGGAGCTGAAATCTCCAAATATGAGGTCAGGATGATGAAGTATCAGAAGTACGATGATAGTTAAATTCCTGAAGATGATAACATGGGGAGACTGTGTAAGAAGAAATAATGTGAATTAGGTTACTGGAGTTATTGAAGAAGGTGGAAGTAAGCATGGAGAATGAGGTAGATGATGGTAAAGAAGTGAGAAGACACTGATGCAAGTAGGTGAATTGCTGTAAGTAAGGGAGGAAAGTGATGGTGGCAATTAAGTGGTCCTCTGCTTGCTGTGGCAGCTGTGAGAAGGCTGTTCTCTCCTCTTGGCATGGTAAGTGATAGAAGGTAGATAAAAAGGCTGTAGGGAAGATGTGTTCTCTATGGAAAGTCCGATTTACACGTAGTCTTTGAGTATGGGAGGAGCAAAGTTATAGGTTTGTCTCAAGTTGTAAAATGAAGCCCTCAAAATAAAAGTACAATAATACTTTGGTTTGTGAGCATAATTCGTTCCGGACACAAACTGCTCTTATTGCAAGATATCGCTCATTTACCAAGTTAAAATGTGTTAGAAATGTTTGTTCGTCTTGTGGAGGACTCGCAAACCAAGTTACTCGCAATCCAAGGTTTTACTGTAGTTGATTTTTGCATAGATGTTTAAATGTTTTACCTTATACAGCTCTTCCTGTAAAGAATTTTCATTTGATATTAGTACTTCTTACTATGTATAAAATTAATTTTTGTAATGAAATTACATATTAAGGGATTAATACTAAAATATCTCTATTTAACTGTGAACATAGACTAAAGTAACCTGGCAGATAACCTTCATTTGAAATATTTAAACTGTCTAAATTCGGCTACCAAGTAACTAGCAGATACCAATCATTTGGGTATGATAGTGATCCTTCCATGACAACATTAATGTAGAGTCCATATTGTAGTATGTGAAGCTTTGTTAATAGACATACATTTAAGGACATTACGTGCCTTAGCCATTAAAAATGCAATTCAGGCAATTCCCCTGTCCTCTGAAAAATGAAACATGAGCCGTTGGTAGCTGCTTTATGTTTTTCTATATTGATGGGCAAAGTGATTCCTGCATATGACATAATTGGTTAGTATTTTCTAGAGGAAAAACTTTTCTGTGCTAAGGACTAAAATTAGAAGCAGACAAAAGGTAAATTTCTAGAAATTTTCACTGTGCTAAGTTTGAAGTTACTGGCTCCTCTTATAAAAAGCATCTTTATTTTTTCTGAAGAATTAGATTATTTTCTGATAATCAGAAATCTTAAATGCCTAATACTTTATTTTAAATGATACCTTTATTTTAAGTGGTTTTCAGTGGATAATTTTTGGAATGTTTTTAAAGATTGAGTTAAATTTATTTTGAGTCATAAGAAAACAATACCTTAATTATGTCATTTACTTTATTTTTATTTTTGTATTGTGTGTTTTTTTCCTCAGTTCCTATTACAAAGAATATAGCCAAAACACAGTCGACTTCTTCCAAAGAGACCAGACCCGTTACAAAGAATATAGCCAAAACACAGTCGTCTTCTTCCAAAGAGACCCAGCCCACTACAAAGAATACAGCCAAAACACAGTCTTCTTCTTCTAAAGTGACTCAGCAGTCAATGCAATCTTCACATAAAACTGCTGTAACATTGCCAAAACAGCAGGTCAAGAAATCAGGTCGGACTAAACCACCTGCACGTACTCCAGTCCCCAAGAAGGGAATTTCTGTTAAAATTCCCACAACAAAGGAAAAACGCCCATACACAAGAAGAAAGGTTAGTTGTATCTCCTACTAATTTGTATTATAGGGCTCCGTAGTGCCTTATTATTTATAACATACTGTTTAGGATTTACTAAGAGTATGATGAGGCCCTTTAGGAATGTAGCAAGAGTATATAAGACTCTTTAAGGCCTACATAGCTGTCAAGATTGGTATTTCTTTTCTTGGGCAAACTTAAAACTTTGAATAGTGTTCAACCTCTTGAAAACCACATTAAAAGTACTGCATAGGTATATTTATGTTCAGGCCAGTTTATTTAAAACTCAGTATACTTTAAAAATCAGTGTGAAGTGAATTTTACTGTACATAAATTGTACCTCAATAAAGTGTGATAAATCCAATGATTCTAGAGTCACATCCTATTTAACTGACTCCCCCAAAGAAAACAATTCTTAAAACCTGGAAATAACAAAAAAGCAGCTACCTGAAGACACTGGAGAGTAAATGGAAGCAGACAGACTCTGGTGGGGACGAGCACACACAGGAGGAAGGGTGTTACACAAACAAAATTCTATATCTGGCAAAAATCCCCTTCAAGAATGAAGGTGAACTAAAGACATTTTCAGATAAAAACATACTGAGAGAATTAATCACTGGTAGACAAGCACTATAAGAAATGTTGAAGGAAGTTTATCTCTGGGTAAATAAATGCAAATGGCTTTCTATTTTTTTTTCTCCTTAATGTGACTATTTAAAGCGATAATTATAATACAGTCTTGGGGGATTTAAAACAGACATAGATGTAATACATAAAACAATTATAGTATAAAGTCTTGGGCTGAGGGACATAGATTTGTATCATTGCAAGTTTTCAACAATTTATGTTAAGTAGTAACAGTATTAACTTTATGTGGATTGTACATTGTAATCCCCAGGGCATATTGTAAAAACATAAATGCAAAGAAGTATAGCTAAAAAGCCAGTAGGAAAATTAAAATGGAATTCTAAGTCATATTCAAGTAATAATAATAAAAGACAGAAAAGGAGGAACACAGGAACAAAACACAGAGACAAATAGAAAACAGTAGACCCGGACCCAAATGTATTCATAATTTCTTTAATGGTTAGTGGACTAAACTCTCCGGTTAAAAAGCAGCTTATCAAAATGAAGTTTTAAAAGACCAAAATATATCCTGTCTACAAGAGATACACTCTAAATATAAAGACATAGAATCTTTTTAGATCTATTAGAACTGAATTAGATTTCAGTAGTATTATCTTAAACATTTCTGAGTTCATCCATTTCATACCAATAGATATAACATTTCTGTTTCATTTTAACTGTTAGCAGTATGGATCAAAATCACAATACTTAAAAATACTTACATTAATACTGATATTTTTATTTTAAAAATCATTCAAAATTTATAAAACCCAAAAATCAATCAAACTGAATATATTTCTTACATAAAATCATAAACATTGAAAAAATCATAAGCAGATTATTTATTTATTTATTATTTTTTTGAAGGGGAACAGACAAGTTGCTGTCATTTTGTTCTTCAATCTAGTTGTGGAGGATGTTGCTTCACTGGCCCAAGTTGGCACCATCATTGCGCTCTTCCCTGGTGAGGCAGATCAGTCGCCGGCTTCTGGACGGCCGTTCACTGCGGCTGCTGGCCGCTCACGCTGGCTGCTGGCTACACACGGTAGCCCATGGCAACCCACTGCCAAAGGGGCTGCAGCCTACGCCGTCGCCGGCGACTCACTGGCAGCCCAGCTCCAGGTTGAGCTGTTGTTCAGCATCTTAGCTGTGGAGGGCAGTGTCACTGGCCCTCATATGTGGGATCCGAACCGGGGCCCTCTGGCGTCCCAAGCGAGTTCTTAACCATCGCGCCACTCGGCCGGCCCATAAGCAGATTATTTTAATATAATCATTAGCAGATGAAATTTTTCAAATTAAAAATAAATTACATAAAATTAAGAAAAGTTAATGAAATTTAAAGGGAAACAATATTTTAAATGCATTTTAAAAATTAAAATGTATCAAACATGTCATTGATGCATATGTTTAATGCATATTTTCCAGCTGCTGAAAAAGTCGTGATTAGTTGGTATAATGGTGAAAACAGAAGATAACTCCAAAATGTTTCTTTTGAGTCCTGTATTTTAAAATAATTCCAATATTAATTTGACAATTTTAAAGAGATCTTTTTGAAAATATTGTTTATTTGGTGTTCTGGATGGGCAAGGGACAAATACTGTAATTTTTTGGATAATAAACTGTTTGTTTCAAAGGAAGAATTTCAATTCACCTTCATCTTCTCCAGCTTCATTATTTCATCGTGAAAGGATGAAGACTCACATGCAGTTAGTTACCTATATCCCTGTTTCAGTACTGCCATGTGATGGTTTAGTTAAAAAGTCTTTGAACTAGAGTAAGAATTATTCTTGCAATAGACTGCTTTGTCAATCATTTTCTCCCACCTCCCCAAAGGATTCTAGAGGTGTAGAAACACATTTTCCAAATATACATGTACCTTTATTTATCATGTTAATACAAATATACTATTTTGGTATGTCATAAGTCAAAGGATTCAGATTTCAGATTTTTAAAATACTGAAAGAACAAGAAAGGTCAACATAATAATTGCAATTTAATACTTTAAAATTAACATGATTTAAAAATGCTGTGAACCCAAATGACAGTTACGAATTTAAACAAATAAAGAAAAATTCAACAACATTGAATGTTATCCTATTTTTTTCTCCTTTGTCCCTGCCATTTAAATGTCCTCTGTTATTAACCTTTTCTAGGCACAAGAGCCCCTTCTCTGATATTGGAGAGCTGTGTTTGAAGGTAGCTCCAAGAAAACCCCAAGAGTTGATATAAAATAAGACACTAGTGATGTTTAACAATGGCCAGAAGACATTTGGTTCTTATATACAATAGACATAATTTTATATGCAAGCCACTTGTAATTTTGTCAGAATCATCCTGTGTAATATGGAGAAATGCAGACTAGATACAGTAAAAACCAGATGAGTGACTGCTTTCTAAAGACAAGCTCTGTCCTTTGTTTTGTTGAGGTTCCGAATCACCTCCATTTGATGTATTGCTGTATTAGATTTACAGATGTTTCTTTAGCAGTGTGAAAAAAACTTGTCTTATAGGGAACCTCAAAAAATAAAACAACTTACAGAGTGAACTCTTTTGGCTAAAATGTGACCAGTTAGAGCAGGGATACTGAGAATCGTAGCCCCTTGGTCTCTTCCTCTCCCACCTGACCAGATCATGGACCACTCTGAGGAGCACAGTTTGGAAAGTATTGAATTTGTGACAAATTCACACAGGGGTTTCCAGCCCTGGGGACTTCTGACAACTGATCATTTGTGAACCATTGATGCCGATAATTTCTTTACCTCCTTATCTAGGAATTTTTTAAAGAATAATGTATACTTGTGTTTGTTTATTTATGTTTGTGTTTGTTTTTTTATAGGAAAAAGGTATTCCTGTTGTGTGTTCTACTTCTTCAGTTTCTGTAAAGATGCTGATGAGGGGCCGTGGTGTTCCATATAAGGATCCCCCTCCTGGCTCTAAAATAATGATGTCTACAGGTAAATTAGTATTTTTAAAAGAGTATAAAATTACTAATCTTTTATTCTGTCTAATTTTCAGTGTCTTTGAAGTCCTAGAAACAAGAGGAAAAACATAAAGATAAATATTTCTTTTAGCATTTTTCATAGTAAAAGGATTTTGAAATTCTCACTGTTCATTTTGATGTTCATTTTGATGAAGGAAAAACGGTCTAAATACCTGAGTCACTTGAAAATTCAATACCCTTCAAGTTTTTTATCCATCTTAGTAAGATTTATAAAATTTACATCATCAAATCTATTCTTGTTTTCCCCTCATTTCACAATTTCTCTTTTTTGTCTTGTAAATATTTTTAAAGCTACCTCAAAACCTTTTTTTAATGTCTTTTAAAATCTTGACAGATTATTGTCTGTCTAGGGACATGATGACTTGAAATTGTTCTCTGCTATGTGAAGAGTATGAAATGACAGACACCCAGACTAATCAATTTTTTTTTCTAATCAATTCCTTTTATTTGTCATGTGCACATTGTTTATTCCTGTCCTATTTTTAAAAGCATGTTCTATTGCTTTGTCTCCTAGATCCTTAATTACCTTCCTTATATACTCTTCTGTTCCCTGGGCTTTTTACCCCAATTTTTCTTTCCTGACTAAAAAGAAATTAAATTTTAATTTTTTGAAATACAAATCATTTAAAAAAATGATTATTGTAACATAACTCTTTTTGTCAGTTATTATTTCTGATTTTTAGTTCATTGATAGGAGAGACTAGCTAAATAAGTGTAATGCAAATGAGATAAAACATTGAAATCCTTCTTTAGCTTCACTTGTGTTCATTAGAACTTTGTCCATACTATCAGCACCACAGGTAAAGTTTTTTATAGCTGTTTCATTTCTGTGACAGAGTTCATCCTTCCTCTGGCTATTGTCACAAAATTGAATTATATATTTCAACATCATGAATGTGAGATTAATGGTTTTTTTTAGGCTGAATATATGAAAATTTACATATGAAAATTTTCCAATATAAGTTAAGTAATGGGGAATGGATAAAAATAATGTACTTCTTGATTTAGGGAGACATTATATTTTTACATGTGGTAATGTACCTTCATATTGTATTATATGTTGATTTGTATTTGTTGATCCTCAGTGAAGAAGAATTATGGAAACTTGACACTTGTGTGATTATAGATGATTTGCTTCTAAATCATATGATTTTATTATACTAAAAGCATTTATATTTAAATTTTCTTCAGTGAAACTTTGGCATGTATATAAAGACCATTTTTATTAAAGTTAATTAAAATTTCTCTAGGTCATTAGAATTTACTGTGACATATGTCCTAAGTTATTTGGTTACATTAGGCAATGTAATGAAGGTGCAATATTGGTGATCTAAATAAAATACATTCAGTTCAAAAAGGAGTGTATTAACATGACCAATTTTGAAAGAAAATTCCTACACTGTTTGCACAGTTAAATGGTGAAAATATTTATCTATCTTTATATCATTTTATATAATGTGGGAATGTGTGAATTGTTTTGTGATGCTACTAAAACTTCCATAGTTTTTTTAAAATTAATTTCAGGTGTACAAAACAATGTGCTAGTTAGACATTTATACCCCTCACAAAGTGATACCCCCCCCAGTCTACGGTCCCTCCGACATCATATATAGCTATTGCATTTCCATTGACTACATTCCCTATGCTGTACTCCACATTCTGTGAATGAATATATGTGTGTGTGTGTGTGTGTGTGTGTATAGTTGACATTCATTATTATAGTTTTTATTATAATCAGTTTGGGCAAAATTCTAAAAAATTGAATAAATATTTAGATTATTTCTTTCCAGTTTTAACATTTTTACACATATATAAAATATATTTACGTACATATTTTTAGGTAGAAGAAATGATCATTGATGTTACTATATTTAGGTTCTGTTTGAGTGAAGTGTGGCTAGTGGGATACAGTAATTATGTAGTGTTTATGTTCCTTTTAACCAATTTCATTGTTTGTTATATCTGTATACGCATTTTTTTTCTCAAGTCTGTGTTTATATAAACAAATATGGAAATGTTGGCCCTTACCTGGATCAGAAGAAAATCCAGCAGCTGCCTGACCACTATGGCCCTGGCCCTGTGAATGTGGTGCTCCGGCACACTGTGCAGGCCTTTATGGATTGTGCCATTGAAAGTAAGACTCTGTTTGGATTCCTTAAGCCAGATGATCGTGGAGGAGAAGTGATAACTGGTATGCTCAACTAATCCTTCATTCAGCTTTTTTTTCCAAATTTGATTTTAGGTTTTGAGAAGGCAAGCATTTCATAATATATAGATTATTTTATGATATTTCTATTCTAGTAACCATTTATAATATTGGCACATTTACTATATTGATAGAATATTTATTAGTTATATAGGCCTATAGACTTTTAATCATTTGGAAAGTTTAACTTTACTTTCAAAATAGGCAGAATAGGAGTAATACTGTAAATTGAGGTAAAAGGTACAGATTTTTTCCTTTTACATGCTATATTAAGCTCACTAAGACAAAGTACCTTGGTTGATAATATATTTTAATTTTTTTAGAAAACAGACTGATCGATAAACTGAATAAAAATGTGACTCAAGAAGTGATTAAAAGATAATTATGCAGCTTTCCTGATTGTGTGATCAGATACTACAACTTTTGCACCCATGGAATGTTTGGAATAGTAAAAAGTGTTGTTATAGATCAGTGGGTTTCTGTTGTTGACTTTATGAATATTTTTTAAACAAGAATGCTTTTACAAACACACACTATTGTGTTTTAATGAGAGGAACTTTTATAATTTAAGATTATTCCTTTATAAATAATAAAAAACAAATCAGAGTTAATATCACATTTCCTAAATTGATGGGTTTTTTGTTGATATTGTAGATCTTATCTTTCTGTGATATAACTGACATCTTTTTCTCCCAATAGCCTTCTTTGATGGAGAAACTCATTCTGTCAACCTCCCTCCAGTGAACAGTGCATCATTTGTTCTTCGTTTTCTTGAGAATTTATGCCACACCATGCAGTGTGATAACCTTTTGAGTAGCAAGCCTTTTGATACTTACAGAGGTAATACTCATAGTGCTGCAGAGCATGATCAAAATAAGTCAGGTAAGGGAAAATACAAAATTTTATATTGTGCTTTTATTACATTCTATTACATTTCATATTAACTTGAGAATCTTGTGTAATTCAGAGTGTTTCCTTGTGTCCTCTGCAAAGTAAACATTTTAGCCATAATGATAAATACACACACACACACACACACACACACACACACATATATAAAATATATAGTTGTTTTTGTTCATTCAAAGCAGGAAAGTAATGGCTGGCCGAGTGGCTCAGTTGGTTAAGAGCTCGCTCAAAAGTGCGAGCTCTGAGCAACAGGGTCGCTGGTTCAATTCCTGGCCCGAGCTGAGCTGCCAACAGGTGGCAGGATGGCTCAGCTAAAAAAAAAAAACCAGGAAAGTAATTTCTTATATTCATATTTGACTTCAGAATCAAAACTAGAAAGCCATCTCATTGTGGTTCGACTTGCGTGTTGTTGATTTGCATGTTTTCATGTGCTTATTGGATGTTTGTGTATCTTCTTTGGAGAGCTGTATTTAAATCTTTTGCCCATTTTTAATTGGGTTCTTTGTCTTTTTATTATATAGAAATATAATACATGTATAATATGTATCATATGTAATATACTATTGGGTTGTTGGAAAAGTCATGATGCATTTTTGCAATGAAAAAACAGAAAAAATACGTCATGACTTTCCCGACAACCCAATATATTATTGTATAGTTATACTTGTTATATAAAAATATAATACATAAAGAATTCTTTATATATTCTGGATAAAAGTTCCATATCAAATATATGGTTTGCATATATATTTTCTCTCATTCTGTAGGTTGTCTTTTCACTTTCTTGATGGTGTCCTTTGAAGCACAAAGTGTTTAATTTTGATGTAGTCCGATTTATCTACCTTTTCTTTTGTTTCTTGTATTTTTGGTGTCATAGCTAAGAAAACATTGCTTTAATACAGGTTCACAAAGATTCACTCCTGTTTTCTCCTAAGAAGTTTATCGTTTTGGCTGTTAAATTTAGTTTAGGTCTTGATCTATTTTGAATTAATTTTTTTTTGTTGTTTTGGCACAACCAATATTTTCCTTTATACAGTTAGTTGAAGGTATCTTTAATTACATATGATTTTATAAATTATCAGTACAATCTCCTTATCCATGGTTTTCATTACTCATGGTCAACTGTGGTCCAAAAATATTAAATGGAAAATTCCAGAATAAACAATTCATAAGTTTTAAACTGTGCACCATTCTGAGTAGTGGGATGAAATCTCACTTTGTCCTGACCAGGACATGAATCATCCCTTTGTCCAGTGTGACCGCACAGTATATACTACCTGCCCATTAGTCACTTAGTAGTTGTCTCAGTTATCAGACTGACTGTTGTGGTGTCACAGTGCTTGTGTTCAAGGAACCCTTATAGTAGCCTAGCACTATGTCATAATGCTTACGTCATTCACCTCACTTCATCTCATCAGGTAGGCATTGTATCATCTCACATCACAAGAAGAAAGGGTGAGTATAGTACAACAAGATATTTTGAGAGATCAAATTCGTTGAACTTTTATTATAGTATATTATAATTGTTCAATTTTATTTTCAATTACTGTTGTTAATCTCTTACTGTGCCTAATTTATAAATTAAACTTTATCATAAGTAGGTACGTATATAGGCTTTGGTAATTTCTATGGTTTCAGGCATCTACTGGGTGTCTTGGAACATATCTCCCATGGATAAGGGGGGACTGCTGTACTGTTTAATGTGCTTTCATTTTAACTCGAAGGAATCCCTTTAGTATTTCTTATAAGATAGCTCTGCAAGTGAGGAATTCTCTTTGTTTTTATTTATGGAGAATTTTATTTTCTCCAGTTTTTAAAGGTTAGTTTTGCTGGATATAGAAGTCTTGATCAGTCATCTTTTTGTTTCAGTGATTTGAACATGTCATCCCACTTAGTAGCCTCTGTAGTTTGTAGTCAGTTGCTAATCTTACTGAGGATCCCTTGTATGTGATGATTCGCTTTCTCTTGTTGATTTCAAGAGTTTCTTTGTCTTTTGCTTTTGATAAGTTTTGTTTTATCTAAGTGTGGATATCTTTGAGTTGAAAATTGTTGAGCTTCTTGGATATGCAGATTAATGTTTTTCATCAAAGTTGGAAAGCTTTTAGCCATTATTTCTTCAAATACTCTGCCTGCCCCTTTCTCTCCTCTCTGGGGTCTCTCATGTGTATTTTGGTATGCTTCATGGTGTCTCACAGTTCTCTGAAATCTGTTCATTTTTCCTCATTCTTTTTTCTTTTTGTTCCTCAAACTATATTGTCTCAATTGACCTTTCTTTTTTTTTTTTAAAGATCCTTATTGGGGAATTGGGGGATGGGAACAGCGCTGGGGAACTGGGGGAAGGGGAACAGACAAGCCGCTGTCCTCCCGCTCCTCAGTCCAGCCGTGGAGGACATCGCTTTACCGGCCCAAGTTGGCACCATCACCGCACCCCTCCCGGGCGAGGCAGACCAGTCGCCGGCCTCTGGACGGCCGCTCACGCTGGCCGCCGGCCACACATGGCAGCCCACGGCAACCCACTGCCACAGGGGCCGCAGCCCACGCCGTTGCCGGCGACCCACAGCAGCCCAGCTCCAGGCCAAGCTGCCGCTCTGCATCCCAGCCGCGGAGGGCAGTGTCACTGGCCCTCACATGGGGGATCCGAACCGGGGCCCTCCGGCATCCCAAGCCAGCCCCCAACCAATGCGCCACTCAGCTGGCCCCTCAATTGACCTTTCTTTAAATTTGCTGATTCTTACTTCTGCTAGTTCAAATCTGCTGTTGAGCCCCTCTAATGAAATTTTCAATTCATGTATTATATTTCTTAAATCCTGAATTTCTTTTTTTGCTTCTTTTTTAGTGCCTTTTTGATAGTCTCTATTTGGTGAGAAATTGTTCTCATACTTTCCTTTAGTTCTTCAGACATGCTTTTTTTTTAAGTTCTTTGAACATATATAAAACAGCTTATTTGAAGTATATGTCTAGTAAGTCTAGTGGGCTTCCTCAGAGGCAGTTTCTATTGACTGTTTTTCCCCCTGTGTACAACTATACTTGGCTGTATATTTGCATGTCTCCTAATTTTTTTTATTGAAAACTGGATATTTTAAAATGATATAATGCAGCAACTCTGATAATCAGATTCCCTCCCCATCCCTAGGAATTTTTGTTGTTCTTTCTCTCCCCCCTCCCCCACCCTCTCTCTCTCTCCCCCTCTCTCCCTCTCCCCCTCTCTCCCTCTCTCCCTCTCCCCCTCTCTCCTTCTCCCCCTCTCTCCCTCTCTCCCTCTCTCCTTCTCTCCTTCTCTTCCTCTCTCTCCCTCCTTATCTTAAACACTCCAGGAGGCAGTTTACAAGTCTGCTTTGTGTAGAGCCTCAAGGTCACCAAGCAATTAAAGATTAGGATCTTCTCTGGATTCCCAGGAATATCTCAGTGCTTTTCAAAGTCCCCTAATGGACACCTCATTCTCCACTTTTCTCTTTCAAACTTTTTGGTCCACTTCTTGTAAGCCCCTACTGGTAGCGTTGCCTTAGGCAGCTGCAATGTTAAACAATTGCCGCTGGACTTTTTGGTTTATTTATTTATTTATTTATTTATTTATTTATTTATTTATTTATTTATTTATTTATTTGAATAATACCTTGGAGATAGGGCTGCCTAGACAGAGCAGGCTCTGATTCAGGTCAAGTAAAATAAGCCCTGGGATAGGAGCATTTCAGTTGTTTGCAAGATTGGTCAAATAGTGACAGTTCTCTGGGGATGGGGCTTTTGGAGAGTTCCAAACCCATTGTGTTCCCTCCAGTGACTGGGTAGGCTACTGGTTTTCATAGCTACTATAATTGTGAAGGTGTTGGTTTGCAAAGCTGCAAAACTGGGCTGATGGGGATGGTTTTAGGGATGATAAAGTGCCATAAAATTTACTGTTCTTTCTGATATCCAGACGTTTTTCTTTAATAAATGCTTGGATTGTTGTAATTGTTTAGTTAATGTCCAGAGTTTTGAAAAAAGTTAATTTTGCCAGTATTTTCATTATTTTTATGAAGGAGTAGATTTTCAGAAGTTCTTAGTCATCCTGGAAGTGCCTCTCTATCATGACTTTAAATCGTCTGTCTTTATCTAGTTATCTCTGCAGGAACAGTTCATGCCTTAGCTTACTATAATACCCAGAAGCAGAAATCAAAGAGTCAATTTTATTTTTGTATCAGCACCAGATAGTAGACCATACACCAGCTTCATTAACTTTTCACACAGAAAGCATTAAAATATTATCAGTAAAAGATAAGTACTCTTTTTGATCTTGCTAAGATTCTTGTCATTTACTGAAGTATGTTTTGCCTGTAGGTTTTAGAGTCCATGATTAAAAATAAAATCAACTGGTAAGAGCTCTCTTACACTCGTTGGTAATCAGTCAGTAACTGGGTGGCTAAAGGTTGCTCATCAAATGATTTTGAGAGACATGCCTGTCCCCCAGCCATTTTGAACCAGATGAAGTTCAACTTTGATACTTTCTCATTGCAATCTTTCTTCTCTCTTGAGATCTATTAGGCTTTTTAGATTGTTATTATACTTTATTTTTCCTTTTAGTTGGCATTTAAATCGATATTGATTAATATTTAGAGTGTAATTGATAATTTGAGTTGTCTTTACTTTCAGGATCATGCCTTAAAGAGTGCTCCTTTAGGTAGAAATGCATTTGGTTGAATGATAAATAAGCAATGGAGTTGTTGTTAGGGCAGTACTAGGCCAGGATTATTGTCCATACAATGGGATGTTCATTATACCCTGTCTTCTCCTTAGCTACCCTTAATTCTTAACTTTTCTTGCTCATGGGAACAATTTTCCCATGCCTTTTCAAACATTGTAATTGATTGCTTCACTGCCTCCTGAGATATTTAGAGATATATGATGACCCTAGAATAAATAAAGCCTAGACATAATTCTTAAAACTCCTAGATATGATGTCACTGAAATATTTAATAGGATGAAATAAACATGTTATTCATAAAATATCAAATAATTGATAAATTATTGATGAAGTCATAGTAGGAAAATGATTTAGAAGCACAAGTGTTTTATGCTGATGATATGAAAATGCTAGAGTATATTAGTTATAACAGACACTTTTTTTGAAAACAGTAAAAGAAGACATAACAGAAAAACAAAGCACCAAACGACCTTCTCAGGAACCTCTACCTGATGTTGCTACTCTTTCTCCTAAGCTCCCCAAAACAAATGTGCATGCCTGTACAGGTAAACAGTATTTATACATCCCAGGATTGAACAGAAAAGTCACTCTGTACCACTTATGTATACTCTTGGGTGGTGTTGGAGATAGGGGGGCGTATTTGCCCAAATCATTTTGGCAATTAGGCTAATACTTGGACAGCTTTGTTGAGCACTTCATTCCCTTCAAGAGGGCACAGTTGTAGTTTCTCTTTAGATTTAAACCAAACAGAGTAAAATTTTCCATTCAGCTTTGTACTGCTAAAATCTGCTAGACAGAGGAATGAGGGGAAAAAAAGAGGAATAGGAAAACCTAGTACCTTTCTCCATGGGAAGTTTTAAGTGCCCAAGTAGTAAGCAGATGTTAGAAACCAACTGTGCGATCACATAACAAATAGTTGTGAAGAATGGCATTTCTAAAAATGAATGCTTTAGTGAGGTGCTCACAGCCTTGGTGACAAGACTTGCAAGAGATAGTTGCCCTGAGAAATATAGATGATGTCATAGATTCAATTTGGATTTCAGGATAGTGTCCATTTCTGTAAACACCAAGAAGGGATGGCCATATACTGTGTTAGAGGTGTGTAGTTCAGTATAGCATGGTTTAAGTGAATTGTTGTGGCAGCTGAGGAGATTTTTGACCTTTTAATAGTATTTGAACTATAAGTCTATTGAAGATAATTGCCTTTGTCTTTTTTCTTGTAGGACTATCGTGTTCTCGGGGAGATGACATACCCAAAGAGGAGCTTCCTAAAGATCCCAAGAACTCACCACCAAATTCAGCACATTTTTTGAATCCTGACTTCACAAATCCTATAACTGTGCCAGGAATCTCAAGTTTCGAACTACCGGAAACCGAATCATCTACTCAGAGCAGTCATCATGAAATTGAATTGCAAGTGCTGAGTGAAAGTGAAGGTATATTTAAAAACAGTGATTCTCAACCAATGTGTTTGTCTTTCCCCTTAAGGTTTCCATGCCTAATAACATCCCCTGAGAGGGTATCGCATTGGAGAAAATGCCAAATTGAGGAGGTCGAGTCTTCCCCTTTACTTCACTGTCAGGGACAAGCCACTATAGATGCTGAACTTTGCCTCTATGTAGATTGTCTCTGTTTTAGAGTGATATTGTTTGCAGGGAGTCTGAGGATAGATGTTTATTCCATAAAGGGGAAGTATACCCTGAATTTCTAGTTATTTTCACAAAATATGAGCTTTTGAAGACAGGCCTTCTCAGTAAAAGATTCTGAAAGGTTGCCTCTAATGCTGAATATCTCACTTCCAAATGTATGCCTAACACTACTACCATGCCAAAGTAGCCTGTGTTTGGGCTTGAGAAGGCTAGCTTCTGGTCTTCCTAGGATCCTAGTAGAAACACTAATAGTAATAATAGTACTTACTAGTATTTACTTAATAGTAATAAAAATCATCATCATCTTCATCACTATTTGACTTTATGTACCCGGCACTTAATATTTTACATAGCCTTATACATTATATCTTTACAACAGTTCCTTGAGGTGTAGGTGCTGGTAAACATTTTTAGTTGAAAAATCTAAAAAGTCACTTAGAGTCCCCCAGCTAGAAAGTAGCTGGGCCAGTACTTGAACCTAGGCACTCTGGCTCCTGGGCTATACTCTTTAACTGCTGTGCTGCTTGCATCTCTAGAGAATAGGTAAGCATTTCACTTGGAAACCGTCTAGAGGTGTCATTACTATCATTTTCTTTAAGGTATTAGAACTATTACTTAAAGCCGAGTCTACCCCTGATTGCCAGTGATGCTCACACAACCTCCTACCCTGACCTGTTATTTGAATGAAACAAATTGTTGATTTTCATTATAGGAAAGAAATCTAGTAACATTGTTGGGGATAAAATCAAATCACTTTATTTCAGAAATATTTACTGATATCCTAGTATATATAAGACAAAGACTTTCAGGAGAAAAGCATCAGTGGACTTTGATTATTGTTTACATAGTTTGTTTTATGTAATTATTTGCATAACATGCTGTTGTTAATGTTTGCAATATTCTCTGGTCGTTTTGAAGATAGGGGCCCAATTAAATTATTTTTTTTCATAATAGATTAAAAATAGATTATCTTACAGTTCTATTTTAATATAAAATTAGTTTTATACCAGAAATCACATCTTTACTTATTATAGTTTATCTGTAATAATCAGTAAACTAGTTATACATTATTTAAGACATAACTATACCAAATACTTATGACAAAAAGCAGAAATACCACAAAAACATAATTTAGAGGTATGATTTCCCTTTATTAAATTGAGTCATGAGTTAAAGGAGAAGAGTTTTCTGTCTAAATTGTTAGAATGCCTTAGGTATGGCATGGTCTACACCATCATCATTTTTACTTCAGTTGATTCAGCCCAGTAGCATTTCTTGGCAGATATAACCAACATTTTTATCTCTGACAAGTGGAAGGGTGGATATGTTTTAGTAAAGAGTTTTTATTTCACATCAAAGTAGCAATATTGAAATAGAAAATAAATTTCTGAGCCACACACATAAAAAACTGACCATTCTATGGGCAGAGGATATGAAGAGACATTTCTCCAAAGAGGACATACAGATGGCCAACAGGCATATGAAAAAATGTTCAACATCACTTCGCATTAGGGAAATGCAAATTAAAACCACAATGAGATACCACCTCACCCCGATCAGAATGGCTATCATCAATAAATCAACAAACAACAAATGCTGGCGAGGCTGTGGGGAAAAGGGAACCCTGGTGAACTGCTGGTGGGACTGCAGGCTGGTGCAGCCATTATGGAAATCAGTATGGAGGCACCTCAAAAATCTGAAAATG